GTGCTGGCTAATGCATACTGCCAAACGTGCATGCTGGCAAAGACGCAGACTGGCAAACATGCGTGCTGGCTAATGCATACTGCCAAACGTGCATGCTGGCAAAGACGCAGACTGGCAAACATGCGTGCTGGCAAGCACGCAAGCTGATGCTCGTCATCATGATAGACACAACGTGACTAGTTCAACGATCATTATAGATGACATCGATAGAGACGACATCGGCGCACTTTTTTAATTTTTATTTTATTTCCAGGTATGTTAGCCTACATACATGTTACAGCCATTACAATACATGCTTGTACACTTGTATACTTGTATTTAACTTATATACAATTTGATACGTAGGTATACTTTGGTACACAACTTTATATACTTGACTTACATTTGCATGTTCGGGATCCTATTACATATAAGTTCACAATCAAGACTTAGTGCATATTAAGGTATAGTATTTATATGTGGTTCCTATTGTAAACTGTGAAAAATAGAAGCCCATTTACCATAAAATTTGTTCATATTGCTATTTGTTTGTGCAATATACTTTTCAATGTTCATAACATGTTTAATATTGGCTTTCATTGCTGCAAAAGTTGACCTAACGTTTTCAAGTCTGCATCTATAAATGGTTTACTTAGATGTCTGTATACACAAGTTGACGAGAGACATAGTCGCACTTGCCTGTTTGTGGTCGTCTGGAGAAAGTCGAATTTCCTGATGCAAACGATGACGAGAGCGTTGGAGAGGATGGCCAGCGTCGTGGAGATGACGTTGAAGGCTATGTAGAGATACTCGGCGACCGGCGTGTAAGCCGTCGTCGCCGTCGCGTTCTCGCCGCTCCTCGTCAGCGCGTCGGAGTCATTGTACGTCTCCGTCGAGTTGTACGCTGCTCCGGCTTCGAGCGCGAAGTTCATGTTGGCGTTGCGTTGATCGGCGGCGTTCTCTCCTCCCGGCGCTGGTGGTGGCCAGAGCGCAGACGCGCGAGGCTAACGTCCTGGAAATGCAACAATCGGCGTTCAGCGGAAACCTAAAGTATTAATTCGTGTTGTTGTTGTTGTTGTTGTTGTTGCTGTTGTTATTGTTGTTATTGCTGTTGGTATTGTTGTTCTTGTTGTTGTTGGTGTTATTGTCAGTACTTGATAAATTCAAATTCAAAATACTGTGTGATAATAGATTGCATATTGGCGTAGCCTCATGCGTAGGATCTACACGTGGATTCTGGCTGATTTATGGACGTTTTCGTCGAGACTCGGTCCTCGCCAAAAAAAGGTTTAGCGTGTTAGCCACATGTATCGGTTTTTAAGAAACAGCCCGATATTAGTGGGCATACCTATATCACTTTAAAAGATGATTGTTCATGTAACAAAGTAGGTTTCAAAAAGGCCTGTCTTGCAGTTCCCATCTTGCCTCTTCCATCTGCCATCTTGCAGAGTCCCATAGGCTGTATCTTCGTGCAAATCAGCATGTCACTTAAAATAGTGTTTTCTGTGAACGAATCAAGGCATATATTCAGACATTAGTTCAGTGCCTGTGAGTTACTCAGCTCTACCGAAGAGCCCTAAAGCTCGTCTCATGTTTATGACAGGCGTGAGGTAATTGGATGTTTTATAGGGATATAGAGGTTTGTCTTGTACATGCGCAGTTGCGGTGGCCGTCTGAAGCCTTCACACTTCTGCAGGGGGTGGATGAGTCACAATTGTTTTCCACGTGCGTTGCCATTTGTAATTTATGCAGAATCGTAACTGCGCTACGGAATGTTAGCTACCTACCCCGTAACCTACCTACACGCGGAAGCCAGGGCGTGGTTCAGAGGCACCTGCCGCCAGCCGCCGGGAAGTGTTGCTCTTGCGGCGCGCCTCCTTTTCGCCGTTGCTGTCCGTCCCTTCCAGCATCCAGTGTCCCATCATTGTTGCTGCGCAGCTGAGCGGGAAATGTCACCTCAATGAATCCACAACGCACGTAATAGAGTCATTACCTCCGGCAGATTTGTGGCGGTGATTTGCGCGCCTTTCAAATCCGTCAACAGGATGATGTGCGCGCTATTATTAGCGCATTGATGAGATTGGTAATTATGGTCCGGCTAATAGCTATCCGGTCCGCACACCATGTTGTTAGTCCCCGAGTGAATTCATCACAGCGGCCGCCGGAGGAAAGTGTGTTTGCTACTGCTCATGTGAAATGTGTGTATATAGGAAATGTGTGCATGGGAAATGCGTGTGTATATATAATATTGTGTGCAATGCCATGATTGTAAAATATACGGTATATATGGTATTGTTATAGATATAGAGCAGGCGGGAGATCGTGGTTTGTGAAATATTTGGAAAATTAATAAATTTTGTTAAAGTGATTACGTCACCGTAAATAGTAAAAATAAAAAAATTATGCCCACTTTTTCACAAAATGTAAGTGATTCTGTTCACTTTTTATGGTTAAATTGCTGCATTATACCTACTTCCTATTTTGTTATTCCGTTTGATGTGAACAAACACTCTTGACTCATAGCCCATAGCAAGCATCTAATGTTGTGATCAATGTATCAAATCGCCCAGATTTTTGGGCTTTTTTAACTAGTTTAAAAATAATCTTATCAGGTAAGAATTTGAGGATACATTTAGTGCCATTAGTACT